CTATGTACTTACGACAAAGAACCGAGGTGCGATAAGCTTTGAGCTCTGCTTTACGTCTCGCGTATAATTGCGCTTACAGAACCAATGGTGATTGGGAATTAAAATTGTTAATTTATTACAACTTTTTTTTTTTCTAATTTTCTGTTCGATACTTATGTAGCAGTACTTAAGAAGAAAATGGGAGACTTTGTTCAGTAGGTTTCTAGTTCCAGCAACCGAAATTATAAACATGGTTGGTGAACCTTATAAATATCTTAGTTTTTTATCTTTTTGTTTTTTTATCAGCCAAATGAAATATTTTTTATTAATATAAAGTACAAGGGGTACTCTAATCCATATTTATAATACTCTCATCATTATTATCAAAATTTCACTCACTTTTTACAAAATAAGAAACAAAATTAAGCTTCACATAAAGTTAGGAACTAGCACCAATCACTGTAATTAAATATAACAGATTTAGATTTTCCTTTTATCCAACCAAAGGTCATTGTTAACACTAACTCAAAGATAATATTTTTATTCCAAGTAAATTTTTTATCTTATTTATGTTTCATAACTATAAATTTTTTTCAAATTTTTTTAACTTTAAAAAAATTTTAAACAATAAATTTTGAAAAGTTTCAAATTTTTGCTTTTTATAAATTTTATTTTTACTTACTTTTTACTCATTTTTTATTATTTCTAAAAGTAATTTTTAAATTTTCTTTCTAATAAAAATTTAAACTCATGATTCATAAACAGTACTAAAAAAAAAGTAAAAGTTCTAAGAAACTCTACCAAACAAACCCTATACATTAATACATATATGATTGGACAATTAAATTATGGTTTTATCTAACTTGTATCTATAATTAATATAAAAAATAATATATTTTTTATATTAATATATATTTTATCACTAATATTACACGTATTGTTTTAATTAGATAATTAATTAATTAAATATTAAATATTATTTTTTAATGATAATTAACACTAAAAATGTACTCTAAAGAGCCAGATTAAAAGAACTCATTTTAAATTATTGATTAGGTCTTGCTGGGGTCGGACTGTCCTTAGCCCTTTGTTTTCAAGCCGGTCAGGGGACCCTTAATTGTTTACACGTGACCCTTAATTGACCCAAACCTAATAAGGTAACCAGGATTTATTTCCCTTGCCAATTTTTTATGGATCCACCTAAAATTTTAATTAATGAGCCAAACATATTCCTACAAACTTTGTTTTCCAGGAAAATTCCATCCATTTGTCGTCAACCACTAATTCAGAAAAATTATTATTTATTTATTAAAAAAATGTTTTTATTATTTCTTCGGAAATTTTAAGGACAAGATGCAACTTACCCCAGCCAAACTTAAATAGTGCTTAAAATTAGTTGGCTATCAATTTTCAGTTCTCTTCCCTTTTTAAGAAAAGATCCCCTATGTTGTTTGGAAAATTTTGAAATTTATTTAACCAAGCAATTGTATCAACTAGTTTTGTGTCAACATCTCTATTTGATCAAAAGGGTTTCTTCAATCTCCATCGATGATACTTAGAATTAGGATACACTTAAAGCTAATATGTCCTTTCAGTTAGAACTACATTATCTTGATGTTTTATGTCCGAGAAGGCACAATTTCTAGAACTAAATAACTATATTTAAGGTTTTATACCAAATATAGAAGCAATGCTATAGTTATCAGTTATTGTCTTTGGTCCATTTTATTTGTCACAACTTTAATTTTAGGTATTTTCTTATAGTATATATATGATAGTTTTAAATTTTTTATAAAATAAAATTACTTAATAAATATTACAAATCAAGAAAAAAATTTAAATTATCATTTGTATACCATAAAAAAATGACCTAAAAATACATGTTGTGACAAGTAAAATGTTACTAGGTTTGTGGGTAAGCTCTGATTATTAATTTTTTTGGTTTTTTTTGTTATTTTTTTATATTTAATAACTTATAGAGTATGTTATTTTACTATCTAAAATGGTTCAAAATGTAAATCAATTTTTTGAAACTAACATTATTATATAGTGTTTTAGATCCACTAAATAAAATATAAATTGCTATATTTAAAAGAATTAAAATAAAAAACTATAATGATGCCATATGGAGTCAACATTGATTTATGTTGGGATTATTTTTTGGTGGATTAGAGAAAGGAAATGAGCATATTAAAAAAAAAAAAAATACTGGTGCTCAATTGAACATTTAGAGATATATATAAATTAGCTAGAGTCCAACAACAGGATGGGCCTAAGAGTGGAATTTATTTTCATAGGCCTCTATGTTCTAGCCCGATCCAATCCTGAATCCAATAAACCCGCCGTCAGTCCGTCCGACCAACGGTTTCACCGTTAACACCCGAATCCTGCTTTGGTCTTCACCGACGGCCACCGGAGTTTCAGTGCTCCGGTGGCCGTCCTGCGCACGTTAACATCGTCGAGAGCTTCTTCTATCTATAAACATCACAAGAAGGAGAGTATTTTATCTTGCTGTTGTTAATGGAAACAGGCTGCCGCTGAAATGACTTCAGCTTCTTTTGTTAATAGGTACTGAAAAATTTCACCTCTTTTATGTGTTCTCGTTATTGGGTTTCCGATGAAATTAGCTTGTATTTGTTGAAGATAATAGTTTGGATAAAATGTTTCAGTTGCTTGTTATTGTTAAATAGTGTATATTTAGGCATTCTTGTGTTATAAATATATGGTGATGGGCAGACAAGAAGGGATCTTCATGTAAAGTTTGTTGCTTCACTTAAGAGTGTGCTGAAATTTGACAATAATTGAACATTTTATGCAGATTCTTGCACAACTGGTTGCATGTAGTGCACCAAAAACAGAAAGTGGTGACTCCAGTCTTAAAGTACATGCCAACTGCAATTGCAGAGATGGCCAGCCCTGAGCTTAATCCATTTGGATTTTGGAAAACAAAAGAGAATATATAAAAGTGAGGATGATAAAGTGATGTCTGTTTATGGATTGCAAGGCATGGGAAACAGCCTGGTGAAGATCAGGGACATCCAAATTAGCTCAGGTTGGGTACCGGAGGTATGAGGATTACAGGTGGTATTTCTTGGTACCTGGTTTGGAGGTCTCTGCTGATATTTCTATGTTAAGAAGTGTCTGTGGGTAAGGCAGACGTAAATGATGCATCTAATTTGCAGGAATGGGTTTGGTAAGGCAGATGTAAATGATGGACAGAAGAAGCTTTCATACCAGCAAATATGATTATGACTAAACTCATTTTGCTTTGCCCCATGGTTGTGATGTGGAGAGATGTTTGTGAGCAAATGAGAGTCATACAATTGGCAACCAAAGGTGGAGTGACACTTGTGGTCAGCTTAAAAATGCATTATTGCAAATGATTTGTCGAATATTGTGGGTAAGAAAATATGCCTTTTTCATCAACAATTTCATCTTTCTGTCATTAAATTTAATATGATCTATACCTTTATGAAAGAATTTTCATTTAGGTTTCCCTGACTTTACAAAAGAATGAGAAAGAAACATTATGCCAAACCTAAAACGGGAAAATTTCCCCCTTGTTGCACTGCTACTGATCTTGTTCACATGGGTTCCGCCTTAACATGAATGGAGAATAGATTCATGAATATGCCAGTGGATGCACTGAAACATTGTCTGCAGTTTCATATTCTGTTCTGCAATGTTCTGCAATGAAATTTTTGTACCAAATTGCTGATAGTCTCGGAGTTCTCTTCAGCGTTTCATAGTCAACATGGTGAAGTCCAAACCTTGATGTATAACCAACTGCCCATTCAAAATTGTCTATCAAGGACCACACAAAGTAACCCCTTACATCAGCTCCTTTCCTGAAAGCATAAGATAAGAAAATAGATCAGTCTTCTTTTCGAAGTTACTGGAAGTCTGGAATATGTACAGTTTTTGCATGTTAAGCCTTCACCTCATTGCCACGATCAATGCATCTAAGTGGCCAGCCAGGTACTTCACTCTTTTGCTGTCTTTAATAACTTCTTGAATGGGGATATTTGGTTTGTCCACCATGCCATAGCCTACAGGAATGAAATATTTTTGTGAGGATTATGTAAGAAATGGGTTGAAATGACTTCGTTGTGCACTTCATACCATTTTCTGTGATGAACATAGGCATGTTATTGTATCTCTCTTTTACATAGGTCACAATCTTCTCCATTCCTCGTGGGTAAACATTTAGCCAGTCCAGACCAGTCTGCACAGGGAAGAAAGCATCGGTTACTGGTTTAAGGTTTGATGTAAAGTCATATAAATTGTGGTAAACTGGGGATTGCATACAGGTTCTCCAATATGGACACCATTTTTCTCCGAGCTTTGTCTCCAAAATCCTTCTGTCATTGAAGTGCCCGTTCCAGGTTCACACAAAGAATAGATGCAGTCCTGGACATAGTAACTGGTGTAGTGATTAATGCCAATAAAATCTAATCCATTCTTCAGTTTCCTTTGTTCAATGACTGAAAATTCAGGTAATATGGATCCCAGAATGTTCTGCATCTCTGGAGGATATCTTCCAAATATAACTGGGTCTAGGAACCTGCATTTTAAGTTCCGTTCTGGCTTAGTCTTTCTGCACACGGGAAATAAAAGCATCTCATGAAGAAAATGGTCTGAGAAACGAACCAGTTCAATGTGAAAGATTGAGCTCTTTCAGCAGCTAACACATCGGCACTAGAATTGGTGAGGGGTTCAAACCAGAATGCGTGCATGACTATCCCAATAGAACCCCCCTGTTTCTTCTGGTACTTGGTTCTGTAAATATTGACAGCAGCAGCATGTGAAAGGATCATATTATGGGCTGCTATGAAGGGTTCCCTCTCTGAATCCCCATAGGTACAATTTCCAAATGGAATTGAGCAACGAGATGGCGGGTATGTGCCTGATCGGTAACCAAAAACTACCTGGAAGTTTGGCTCATTGAAGGTAACCCAATGCTTCACCCGGTCCCCAAAAAACTTGAAACAGATGTCTGCATAATATGCAAAGTCCACCCTGAAAATGGAAGAAGAAAACCGCCATAAGCAGAAAATTCTTTGTCTCAGTTTCATGGAAAGAGGAAGTTGTACTTACTGTGATTGAGGATTCAGCCAACTTCCATATCTCTCCTCAAGTTCTTGAGGGAAATCAAGGTGTGTCAAAGTTACAAATGGTTTGATCCCTTTGAGCAGGAGAGCATCAATTAGCTTGTTATAGTGGTTGATTCCAGCCCAATTGATGTCTCCAAATCTTCCTTCTGTTACAGAATTAAGTTCCATTGTTAGATTACTTGAAAGCAGCAATGGGGACATAGTCATGCTCATGCTACTAAGGAGATTCAGCTTACTAGGTAAAATTCTTGCCCAGGAAATAGAGAACCTATAGCTATTGACTCCAATTGCCTCCATTAAATCAATGTCTTCCTGTACAGTCAAACATTAAACATTTCAGACACAAGAAAAATCGGGTTCTAGTTCGTTAGAATGAAGAGTCAGAGAAGGAGCAGAGTAAATACCAGATATCGATGATAATGATCTGCTGCAACATCTCCAGTGCTTGCATCAAGTATGTTGCCTGCAACAAGTGTCTTTGTAAGTATGAAAATGGCAGAAGTCTCATGTCAATAAAAGAAGAATCATCAATCACCTTGTTTATGAGTAAACACATCCCAGTTGTTCAAACCTTTACCATCACTCAAGTATGCACCTTCACACTGTAAAAAAGAAAAACAGGAACAGGTAAAGAAGAAGAAGCAAAAGAAGAAAAAGGAGGAGGAGGAGGAGGAGTTGATGGTGAAAGCAAACCTGGTATGAAGAAGTGGCAGTCCCAAATAGAAAGTTGTGAGGGAATAATGGAGAAGAGTCCAACCCTTTTCTCAGGGTTTGTACCTCAGATGAAACAGAGAAAGGGGACAAGACTATCTCTAAGAGAAAGAAACCTGCGCAAACTAAGGAAATTCCCATGCTGAAGTAGGTAAGATTGGTGTTTTACATTCATAAATGACTTCTTGCTCTATATTCATCAATGCACATTACTTATGATATTTATACTGGGTTGGTTCCTTTGCTAATATCACCTATCACTTTTAAAACTATTTTCATTTTCACATTTAAGTTCCGTGAATTTCCTTCTTCTTTCTTTCTTCACCTACTTTGCTTCTATTGTTTATTCTTTATTTTCCAAAAAATTGAAAACAAAAATCTCGTTATCTCTATGTAGTTGCCTTGCTGGCTAAGATGTGTGGAGTCTGTGGACAGGCTAACTGAACAGGTCCTCTTCAATATTTTTGAGTTGGAAAAAACTTGATGCGTGAAAAGTCAGCTGGAAGCAGGCCAATTCCAACCAAAACAAAAAGAAATATAATTTACACCACGAGTGCAGTGTTCATGTATGAACAAGTCATCAAATGGTTGCGGCAATGACTACAGAAATTGATAAAGTCCAAACTGCTTATCTTCCCCTACCAAACTGCTGATTGTATTCCAGCAAATTAGAGAAATATAATTATTGTTTCTACCAAACTCCTCATTTGTCTTCCAGCTTTCTCTTCAGTGACATAATCCAACATGCTGGAGTTCAAACCTTATTGTATATGGTACCGCAGAATGCATAAAATTATGGACTGCAGAATTAATTATTGAGAGACGATGGTTTGACAAGGAAGGACTGGTCCATGATGAACACAAATTGATGTGTTTTTTATGATTTCCACAATCATTTGATGGAAAGGTTCTAATAAATTCTTTGACCGTTGAAAAAGGGGGAATATATTACTTTGGTTTGGTTCGATTATTGGGTCTAAATTGCAGCCATAAAAATATGAGTACACATTGGCCCAGTCCAAGCCCATCCCACTGGATCCTCATCAACATTTTGACTTTTTTTTTTCCTTCCTCTCAATATCTAGTAATAAAAAAGTACTTTATAATTATTTTTTTTAAATATATTATAATTATTTACAAGTTAATTGAGAGATACAAAAAAGGATTTTCATAAGGCTTAAAGGTGCAACTCACAGGAGGTAAATAACACTAATCCAGAGTCTAATGTTATTGAGCCAAAATGGACCATTCAGAAAAAAAAAAACTATATAATTTAAATTTGCATAACTTAAAATATTAGATAAAAACCTATGATATTAGGAGTTAATCTTCTATTCAATAGGTTATGTTTTACAGTTTAAATTGCAATAGCTTATGTTTTACAGTTTAAACTGCGAAACAATGAATCGCATCATTTATCAGCTACAATCTCAAAATGCACATATGAAGAGGTAAAGATATCAATAAAAAATGTCATTATGTTTATTATTATGGCTCAATAACATAGCAGGCTTATAAAGAATCAACTTAGTCAGTACTTGTGAGGAAAGAAAAATAAACTAAACTCTACTATTTTCCGGGGTTGCTGAGATGAGATGAACATTCTTGTTCCAATCTTGAGGAGTAAACTCAACGCAGTGCATTGGAGAAAAAGCAATTCTGCAGCACTTGTCTATCTTATGTATCTGCTGATTTCCTCCAAATTGATCCTCATGTGCTTTCTAGTTTCCATTAGTGTACCAATTTCTCGAAAAACTTCAACTTTCTCACTGTTTTGCCTGCTCCAAAAATACATGAGAATGAGTTTTGCCAGTTGACAATCAAACTTTATGAATAGAAAACAACCAGACACTGGTTAAGCATCAAATTTTCAATTTGGTTTCCTACACCGCATTTCGTGGTCCAAAGGAGACTGAAAGGTTATTCTTACAAGTTTTGTCCGGATATAGACAAGTTGATTTTAGGAAAGGCTTCAAACAAAAAATAATTTTGTCCTTGAAATATTTGTTGGGGTTTGGTCCCCAAAACTTAAAAGAATTCTGAAGAGGCAGATGACATAAAGGAGAATATACCTGGGAATAAAGGAATGTGCCAAGGATTGCAATGGCAGCTCCTAGGGCGTTGACGGGTTGAACGGGTGTGTGGAAGATGATAATGGAGGAGACTATGACGGAAATCCTCTTCATTGTGTTTCCAACGCTGAATGTCAAGGGTGAGATTTGATCGAGAGACATGTATGAAACTTGATTATACAAGTGGTAGAAGACACTTTGAGCCACCACCCACCTGTGTCAGTTTAAAGCCACATATTTTCTTAGCAGCAAATCAAACATAAAAAATAAAATGGTCATTTCAGCCAAAAATACAAAACGATCACATAACCCTACCATTTCAGTAAACTTAGAACCAGACCAAGGGAGCAGAGCATGCTGCTTATGATGATATGATGCATCAAAAAGTGCAACCAAATGAGGGGGATTGTGCAATAAGCTATTAAATATCTCGGAATTGGAAGAAAAAAATATCAACTTCTTTTCTAGATCCCATTACTTTTGCAGACAAATTAAACACAGGTTCCTTGCCAATTCATATGCACGAGGTCCACCACTAAAACTAACTAAATTTTAAGTGATCATATATGTAATAAAATAGCCGGAGGTTCTATTTCTAAATAATATCTGAAGACATCAAGTCAAACAACTGAAAATAGAGAAATGCAATGCCAAAAGAAAGTTAGCAGGTCCATAAAAATTACAGGTCATTGTAACTACCATAGAAAATTAGGTCCGATTTGTGCAACTGCCTTTTGCCAGCCTGCAGCCCACAGCTGAGGACCCTCCACAGCAATTGCAAAAGGTGTGAGAATCAATAGAGACAATATAGATAGGCAGGCATAGTAGTTCATCCCACTAACTGAATTCCCCTTCATCCCCTTCTTTGAGAATATGTTGCGAAACACAAAGGCCAGGTTTGATATCATGGCACCCATAAAACCTGTAACACATGGTAACAAAACTTAGTACCTGAAAACAAAAATCAAATTTTCACCACATGCTGAAACAAAGAGGATTAAGAGATGCATTAAATTCTCAAGATAAAGTCATGTTTTCGTACCAGTCATGTTAAAATTAAGCTCAGTCACTACTGAGAGTGCGCAGCCTCCAATTATAGGTAGGAGTGACAAATAAACTGGCATTGGAAATGCCTCACCTAACAAAAATCTGGAAACTAGAACACTGAAAGCAGGTTCACCACTCTTGATGATATGAGTGAATGAAACTGCTACCTTTGACATACTCACAGTTGCTGCTACATGCCCAATTGTATGTGCCACTGCAACCTAGACAAAAACAACCAAGAACATGCAGCTAACTTAGAATTCTCACAAGCTTTAGCTGTCAGCAAATAAATCCAATAAAAAGTGGAAATAGTATTGCAAATTCCATGTTTTCTTCTTGATTTCCTTCAATGCTCCGATGAAGATCAAATTTGGTTCAAACCTCTTGTATAACAGAACTCACTTTCAAAACACAACCAGAAAAGGAAAGTCTTTGAAAGAAAAAGTTGAACTTACAGGCAACAGGGTCTTCCAGAACTCAAAATCGGTTTTGGGTGCATCAGCCACCCTCGTGGCCCAAGAAATAAGCATCAGGAGAGAACCAGCAGCAAGAGAAAGAGTGGAGGTAAGCCAAGGAAAGGGAAACGCATTCAAAACCTTCTTGTTATATATATTGAACACCACATTCAATGCCCACCAAGTGGCAAAGTATATCCCAATCTTTATTCTCTTAGCAGCCTCCAGCCTCGCCTCCTCGTCCGGAAACTCAATGTTAATGTCCAGCGGCCGAGATCTGTCGGCTTCATATGCCTTACACTCAGTCACCCTCTTCTCTGCACCCTTTGAAATTCTAAAATTCTCAACGGAAGCAACATGGAGCGGCTTCTGTGAAGCAAAGGATTGAGCTTTAAAGCCATTGTGAACATTCTTGATGGTCGGTAGTGGAGAAAACTTCTGTCTTGGGATTGTATGCCTTCTGGGCAATAAATCAATGGAAGGGAAAGAAGTTGGGGCGTGTTTTACTGAAGAAATCATGGCGTTTGTG